GATGAGACAGAAAATTTATGACAACTTCTGAAAATGCATTAATCCGTTTTCGGGCAAAAGTATTTGCTGTTTTTTAAGTCCCGAGAGAACATTTGATATGTGCATGTTTTGGATTGCGGGACGGACAGCCGGCAACATTTAATGGAGGGCTGATGTCCACGGATTATTCTGTCCGCCGTCCCAGCGGACGATAAGAGACGTTTGAACATCCTGCATCTGCAGAGGCAATTTAGCTCAATCCGCTCAAAATGCACAACATTCAAGGCCATTTATTCCAAATCTAGAATTCATTTTTTAGAAACCTAAAAACCTCCTCAGACAAGATTGAAAGCAGATTTGATCCTAAACTGAATTATGAGTCATGATCTGAAATGATCAAAAGCGTCTCAGGACTTAAAGGCCACAAAAAGCGTTCTGCTTCCAGAGAGAAACCAACACAAAGACTTTGGAGCGTTCGCACCTCGTATCTCTAACTCGTGTTCCTTTCATATTCATGAAGAGCTGCAGGAAGCTTTCAAACAAACAAAAAGCCAAAGATTCCAACCTCCCGTAACAATTCCTTGTTTTTGTCTGTGTAGCTTAGGAAATATCACAGAAGAAACATCCTCTTTTCAGTAATGTTTTCATCATTTGTTGCATCGCTGCAGATTAAACTGACCAGCAAGACATGAAGGAGTTAAAATACAAGATACAACAATAATGCGTCTACATCATGTTTAATATTATCATTCTGGGACGTTTACTAAAGACTGAAATCAGGACTTTCACTGGATCTTTTAAATGATAAACGGGTCTCTTTTGCTCTGCTGCACCATTAGTGACTCCCTCACAACTGGGATCAATTCACACGACAGGCCCGCTCAGACAATTAAAGTTCCCTCCACAGAACACATTTCTATTACTGTAATTACGCCTGGACGTCTGAGGGACAAGCAGAGCTCAGCGTGGCCGAACGCCGCGATTTTCATCCCCGGTCACGGCGAATGATGAACGCAGTAATCCTGCTCAATGAGAACGTGCAATTATACAAAGGTGTGCAATATCGGAATCGTTTCTGTCGCATCGCTCCCATTGAAGAGATTTACCAAACACGCGTTTTATTTTGAAATTTCCAGCACAAACGGTTAAATCTGCCATTCTGCTTTATTCTCTGGACGCACACATTCACACATGCCTTGCATTCCAGGGAAAGCAATGCATTGTGGTCGCTCCTCCGAGCCAACGGTCAAACGGGTGATTGTGTGTCTCCAGTTTGCTGCCAGTAAAATACAGTCATTTTACAGCAAATGGCAGTATACTGCTGTATACTTTTTATGGGAAATTGTAAATTGTAGCTTACTGGATAAAAAGGCTGGCTGTTTTTTTTGGGCATCTCTGCGGTTTCCTCTCGCGCCGAGAGACTTTGTTACACGCTGAATAAAGGCGTCAGTGCTGCAACTCACTCGGTCGACCAGGCCAAAAATGATTGGCTCTTAATTTATCGCTGTTGTGTTTTATGCTTTTTTGTCGATGGATTCCTTATTTGTCGTCTTCGATGCCGCTCGGGGAGCCGGACGCTCGGTGCCGCCGCGACAAACCGCGACACCTGCGACGGGAAAAGCGCTAATACATCATCGCCTGCCCGCCCCGACAGGCCTCATCCCGGGGGTCACGTGACGCTCAAACTGGCAGCAGAGCCTCGGCCCCACGAGCCCCCCCTGCGTGTCCCGCTCCAGACCCATTGATTTTATCGGGCGACGCCAAAACCGGCTCAGGCCGGCGTCCAGTCTGCCGCGAGGCCTCGGGGCGTCACAGCCTGTGACGAGCCCGCCCTTCTGTCATCAATGTCAGCGAATGTTCTCAGATGAGCGAGCGCAAAACACCAGAGGCGCAGATTAATGCCGGCGCTCGGGGGCAGAGAACACACCCGGGAAAAGTTCACAAGACAGTTAATTGAGAGGGTATGAAGGGCGCCGATATGGCGCTTATTAGCTTGTAGCGTGGAAGTGGGGCACGCTGCAGGGTGGGGGTGGGTTCTTCCCAGTGGGCTGCTGGGTGAGAAAAACAATCCGACAACAAGCAAAGCAAACAAATACGCAGCCTGGAGTAAGAAACACAAGACGAACCACAGAGAGAAATGACGGCGGAGGTTATACGAACATAATCGCTCGTGTAAAACAAAATTACAAGATGTAATGTTCATTTATTCTCGCATACCACTGGAAAAACAATCATAATTACTAAAATAGTTGATTTTATTTTCAGGATTATTTGCATACCCCCCCCCTCCTCTCTTTATTGCGCTGACTTGATGTCTTTCAGTTTAGCATTAGTAGCTTGCATAACGGGGCGTTTCCTGGGCTTTCTTCCTTCTCTCTCAGCTGCTCAGCGCCCAGCGGAGCGGCGGATGATGGGAGCTCCGACACGCCACGATCTAAAAAAAAAACCCCACCGGCGCTTTAGTGCGCCTCAGCTGGCTTACGTAACCCCGTTGTGGATGTGCAAACCGCCTCGCTATACTGGGAGAGCTCACGGAACGGACACGCGGGAGCCGCTGACGCGTGCGCGGCGCGTTGGTTTGTGTGCGACGGCAGATCAGAGTGCGCGTTTGACGAAGCGTATTTTGCAGTCGCACGTTTGTGTGTTTTTTTTTCCCCAGAAGCACCACAGCAGCAGCAGATATCTCCCTCCTCCTCTCTACGCCTGTGATGACATCACCGGTGTGCCCCCCTCGTTTTCTGATGTCACTTCCGCCGGGGCCTTCACCTGAAGTGACATCATTTCTGTTGCATAACTAACCCTCTGCCCCCCACCCACCCCTCCTGTGAGAGCAGAGGAAGCTTTGACCACCCAGAGGCGCCGGGAAGCCGCATTATGGAAATACCAGGTGGGTGAAAAGGAAAACGGGCCTCCTCCGTGACCCCATGCCCCCCCCCCCCCCGCCCCTTTATACACTATACGGATCGCCCGGTCTCGCTTTCAATCCGGAGAGACGGCGACAGCGGCTGCACAGCTCCTGCCATGAAGCGTTGTGGGTGTGAGGGTGAAGAGAGACAGCGATGGAGAGGCCTGACCTATATAAGAAGGAGGCTGAAATATTTATGGATGCGAGTGTCCTAATTGGCAAGCCACTGGGAGCACTGCGGCCTTCTCCTCCAATCACAGCCGGGGAAGAGGTTAGCGCGCGCACACAGGCGAGCGCCGGCGGTCCGAGGGAAACCGGGGCGGCGCCTCCACCCCGGAACCCCCCCACCCCTCCTCGTCGGCCCGAGAGGAGCCTCTTCGCCAAGACCGACCTTCCCCTCCTCAAAGGGCTCCGGCGTCGTTGGAATCATCACCGGAGCTGTTATCTTACCCGCCCTCTCTGGCACATACGGACGGGAACAACCGCTCGGAGCGCCGAGTCAAACGCCGCCTAATTGGCTGGGCTTAATCCGCGGCCCCCCGTCACGCACCGCTCGGCTCAATCGCCGTCCCCACTGATGGACACGGAGACACAGACACTTTCTGACTTGCGGGCTTTTAATCAAATAAATGAATGAAATCAGTGTTTCAAGATACCTGAAAAGTGTGATCTATTTCCCATTAGGTTCTTATGGACGTATGTGTGCGGGAAAAAGTTAGATACGTCCTTCTGTGTCTCCATCAAGTGATGTCACTGGAGTTAGTGTCCTTTGAAGACGACAGGTTAAACAAATAAAAAGAAGTTTCTCTCCTCTCCTGCAGGCTGCATTAGCTGCCACTAGCATACCAATGGCTGCATTAGCTGCTAGCATAGCAAAGGCTGCAATAGATGCCACTAGCATAGGACAGGTTGCGTTAGCTGCTACTAGCATAGCAATGGCTGCATTAGCTGCTAGCATAGCAAAGGCTGCAATAGATGCCACTAGCATAGGACAGGTTGCATTAGCTGCTACTAACATAGCAATGGCTGCATTAGCTGCTAGCATAGCAAAGGCTGCAATAGATGCCACTAGCATAGGACAGGTTGCATTAGCTGCTACGAACATAGCAATGGCTGCATTAGCTGCTAGCATAGCAAAGGCTGCAATAGATGCCACTAGCATAGGACAGGTTGCATTAGCTGCTACTAACATAGCAATGGCTGCATTAGCTGCTACTAGCATAGCAAGGGCTGCATTGGCTGCTACTAGCATAGCAAAGGCTGCAATAGCTGCCACCAGCATAGAACAGGCTGTATTGGCTGCTACTAGCATAGCACAAGTGAATGAACTGTCGGCAGTCGAGTTGCATTGTAGGGAATGTTGGCAGAAGAAAAAGAAACTTCTGCTAGATTGATTTAGATGAAACGCCGCTCGGTGAGTTTCTCCTTGTTTGTCTGCCTTCGTCTCTCCACTGAACACAGAACATTCACGTGAAACCAGCATCAAACTGCCTGTGATTGGCAGCTGAAACGTGACGACTTATCCCGACACTGTTCGTACAGACTGCTGCTGTGTCACACGCGTCCGCGTCATTGGTTTTCCGATGCAGAGGCGCTCTCCAAATAAGTTTCTCAGTTAAGTTTAACAGATCACAACGTAGAGAACGTCCAGATTGGAAAACAACAAGATCCTCCTGATTGGACCAGAGCAGCAGAAACAAAACAAACTAAAATCTGGAAAAGTGAATGCAGATTTACAGATTTTCCGTTGATAAAATGTTCATTGATGATTTATTGCTTTCTGTTTTTGCTATAACTGCAATAACCCCCTGCAGTGTAAACCAACAGTACATCACAAGCTCAGTCCTCTCTCTTTTTCGAGGATTAGCAGGCAAATGAGTTGGACAAGCTTCTCCGTCTTGCTTGCACAAAGGGAAAGAGAGCAGAAATCAATGGGCTGTGTTTACAGGGTACACGGCCGACTGCAACACTGCACGTTGTGTTACACACGGCCGGGCAGTGAAAACAGACGAGCTGCCTGGCAGGACTCAGTCTGTAAAGCGGCCAGAGACAGCAGGAATCAGTTATTCTGAGAACTTTGTGTCGGGGGGGACGACGGGAAGAGAGGGAGACTCACGTAGGAAGTACTCGGATGGGTCCGCCTGGTAGTCCGTTTCCTCAGGAAAGTGGTCTATCTGTTTACACATCCCTTTGAAGTTTCCTGTTGGGGAGGAAAAAAGAGGATTCAGTTGAGTTCACACTCAAAAGAAACAAACTTTACAACAACCCTTTAAGTGACCCACAAGCTCACGCCCGTGAGTCCCTGGGTGGTGTCAGAACAGTTCATGGAGGACCCTTAAAATGCCTCTGGCACGGACCAGGAGGAGATGCTCCGAGCTCAGGACCTCTCGGGGCAGCAGGTGGCGGCTTGTAAACAAGGGCGCGGCAGCTGGTGCGACCTGGAGCCGCTCCAGCTGCCGCGCGCCCGGGGAACCTCGTCTCTTAATGCTTGTTCACTTCGCTGACACCTCGTTGGGCTGCGGCTCCCCTGTCCGTCCAGGAACCCCCCCCCCCACACACACACACTCACTCCCCCCTGGTTCACTCTCTTCTATTTGCAGTCTCTCAGCGGAGTTTTAGCATTGATGAGGTCGCTCAAAGTGGCGCGGCGGGGAGGCGGCCATTACCGCGACCTGCTGCTGCAGCGGGGAGAGGGTGGGGGTCGTGGGGGGGCGGGGGGAGATGCCCGGGCGTTTGATTCTACCAGGTTAGCGTTTGCATTAACTTCTTCATGTCCTCTCCCTCCACTGCCCCTCTAATTAGGTGAGCAGGTGTTGGTAACCATGGTGCCAGGTGTTGCCGAGGAGGTTTTGGCAGGTGAGGCATGATGGACACAGCGGGGGGCAGTTATTACTTTGTGAACGGGCCACATGTAGCGGCCACCCCGCCCTCCCACAGGGACGACCAATCAGACATTATTGCGTCCGCGCCATTTGTGCGGCATCTACCTGCAGGATACTTTGTCTCAAGTCATTTGTTGAGTTTCCACCAAAATGTGGGTCAGAATCTGGCAGATTTGATGAAAAACCACCCAGGCTGAAAACAAGCTTTGTCCACTGTTGTTGCATTTCTATATATTTTTGTTAGCTTCCTCGTGCGTAATTGGGGGCTGCACATCCATCACCCAACACAACAAAGTAACATTTACTCATTAAGTCCATAGCTTTTTGCTGCATGTGTTTGAACAATAAACCCACTTTTCCCTCATTGGCTTCACAGTATCTTACTCTACTGCAAGATGTTGTCTTTTCTTTTATTTACTCTGAATCCACAGGCTCTTTAATACCTAAATGTAACATTTCTTCAGTTGTGATTATTGGATCAACACTAATCCTTAATGGACACAATCCAAACGTACCAACTGTCCACTCTTCCTCCACACAGGCAAGACCGTCTTTTCTATTTACATCCACAGGTTCTGTGGCAGTTCAGAGCGAAGCGAGATAGAAACAATGCAGATAAATGCAGGAAGGGAACAGAAGAACAGAGAGGGAAGATGGAGGTGCAATACACTCAGCTTCGGGCCTCGGCGATTGCCGAGCCATGAAGACGTTCGAACTCTGAACTCGCGGCTCGGATTCACGACGTAAAGCTGAAGCAGATTAGAGAGCTCGTTCCAATCAGCTGAAGCAATCCAGCCGTTCGGATGCGAGCCGGCGCCTCCGGTGAGTGCAGCTCCTGCGCCTCCCGCAGCGCGCACACGCCTCCCGCAGCGCGCACACGCCTCCCTGATGGATGACTTGTGTTTACATACGGCTACATCGCGCGCTCCCAGCGGAGCTGTCTGAGCAAACCAGCAGCAAACCCACAGAGCAGCGCGTGTGTGTGTGTGTGTGTGTGTGTTAACGGCGTTATCAAGCGGGTGTAAGATCTGGTTTGCAGCCGGCCGTCCCGTAGTTGTGCGATTTTTTATTAGCGGCTGTGGCGTGCGGCCTATCGGGGGGAAGCCAATTCGATTAGCGCGCCGACAGATTTATGTGACACTTAGCCGCTCCGAACGCTGGTAAATGTTGTATAACGGCGTTTTCCTTTCAGAGACCTTCCCCACGTGAGGGCGAGCGCGGGGCCCGAGGCCCCGGGGGGCAGCAGGGGACCCCGTTACCAGAGGCCCGGCCGAGTAACACTCGACCCTCGAAGAGAAACACCTGGATGCACCGGGCGACACGTCACTGCTGTCACGGTGTGGTTTCACTTCCTGTTGTATTTTGTAGTTTTCTGCCACTCGTGTCCCCGGGTAACTTCACTTCCTGCCTTGTCCCGTCATCCCCTATGATCGTCTTAATAGTTTCCACCTGTGTCCAATCACCTGCACCTCCCTTGTGTATTTAAGCCGTGTGTCTCTTGTGTCACTTGTCGCGTCATTGTCTTTCGCCACGCATGCCCGTGTCTCTTGAGTTGCATGCCTGTGTGTTTTTGCCCCTTGGCCTTTTTGATTTTCGACCTTTGACTATTAAAGTCCCTTTTGTTTTGAACTCTGCGTCTTGAGTCCTGCCTCCACCCTCACCCCCTGACAGAATGACGCGACCAAGAAAGGACTCAGCAGAATTTTTTCCCTTGGACGAGTTCAGGGGAACCCGTCTGGCAATGGGCGGTCCACGGAGTCTCCAGCGGGCTGCCCGTAGTGGGGGAACGGTCCTCCCGGGGGTTCCAGCTGGGTACTTGTACTACTCCGTCTCCCCATCTGGAGCCCTCAGTAGGCATCTGGGTCACCATCCGCCGCCCCCCACATGGTCCCCAGAGGAGGAGACCATTTCGTGGTTGTCTGGCGGCGATTCGCACTGGGAGCGGGTAATGGACCTTGCGGTCCGACTACAGGCCACCTATGCTCCCCACGCTCGGCCGCAGCGCACAATGTCCAGCGCTGGGCCGCAGCGACTTCCCGACCCCGCTCGGTCGCAGCGCACAATGTCCAGCGCTGGGCCGCAGCGACGTTCCGACCCCGCTCGGTCGCAGCGCAAGATGTCCCGCGCTGGGCCGCAGCAGATTCCCGTCCCGGCCTCCCGACCCAAGCCCATGACCCCCGAGCCAGTGCCACGATCCGTGCCCCCGACCCCCGAGCCAGTGCCACGATCCGTGCCCCCGACCCCCGAGCCAGTGCCACGATCCGTGCCCCCGACCCCCGAGCCAGTGCCACGATCCATGCCCCCGACCCCCGAGCCAGTGCCACGATCCATGCCCCCGGTACCAGCACCACGTCTCACATGCCCCCGACCCGACCAGTTCCGGCGCCACGTTCCATCGCTCTACGCGACCCGACCAGTTCCGGCGCCACGTTCCAT